GTTGTGTTAAGTTTAAGCGTTAAGCTTTTTTATCATAATGCAAAATATCAGTGGGCTTATGCTGGAATTAAAATTATGGATCTTCCAGTTGCCAGCTGGATAGGATAACTATATCATACATAGAGAGGGATACAGTAATTTCTCGGGACTATTAATATATAAGATCACTTGAACAATATCTTATATAAAAATGTCCTTGAAGTGACTCATATATAGCAAGCCAATCCCATATATTTATCAGCTTAAATTCATTGAATTTCTTTGATCCTGTACGCTTATAAATATATCAAACAAAGCCAGATTAATAGAGTATAATATCATAACTACTATTACATACTGTTTCATAAATAATACATAACTGTCATAATTTCAGGTACTTTGTGCTTTATGATTTTTTTGCTTTATCAATAATCTGTAGCAAATGAATTTCGTCTGCCAGTCAGTCAGCCTACTGCTAGCATGCTATGTGGAAGGGCAGTCTTTTTAAGTTTTTGCAATTTATTCTAAAATGCAGAATACTGTTGTGAACTTTTCTGTTAATTTTTGTAGGTGCTGCTGGTTGTGAGAAGAGTTTTCTACATAAAAATCATGTAGAAAGTATTTTAGGACTATAAATATTAATTTTCCATTCAAGAAATATTTAAGAATTATAAATGTTTATGTATTTAAGAAAACTTTCTTCCTGTCTGCATACATTACAGAAACTGGAACAGTCACGTACACTTCTATGATATCTTCAAGGATTTTGAGAGGGGGAAAGCAAAATAATACTATATAATTTTTTTTAAAAATTTTCTTGTAATTGTAAATATATTTCCCTGTATGTCATTTTAACATCTTTAAGTATTTATTTCTATATCAAAAGAGCAGTAAATTCAGGGAACTGTCCCAGGCAGCAAAAGCTCTAGCTATGCCACTGACCTGTCCACTATGAAACGATGAGAAAAAAATATTGCTGAAACTTTGACCTTTGCACACCTTAATAAATATGCCCAGAACTTATTGCCCACATGCTATAAATTATGTCACTTGTCTGTACTATAATTGGTCTAAAGCTGCCTGAAGAATTTGTCCTATCTCAATGAAGTCCGGTGGACCGAACCGCATATGATCTAAGGGCTGCAAAATGATTTACTTCATAAGGTTGGGGGCAGTTGACAAAAAAAAAAATTTCTTTTGAGTCGGTATTGTGTGCACTATAGTAGATGAGATCCAGTGATTGTAGAATAGGCATCCAGGATGAAAAAATTTTCCTCCAATGCTACAAATGTTATCAAACTCGAACCGCAGTTACATGTTGAGTAAAAAAAAAAGAAATGTATAATTATGTACATACAATTTTGAGTCATTTTGTTTCTTTGTGTGTCAATAAAACATTTAACACATAAAAGAAAGAGAATAAGTTGTCAGTCTTTATTCTGAAGTTTTGTTTCACGAAAGATGTCTGTGAAAATTTGTTTATTTTTGTAAACATTTTCATAATTTGTCTATTCTAAATTTATGTTAAAAGTAAGCTATTTAGTGGTTAGTTCAAAATGTTAATTATTTGAAATAAATATCAATCCAAAAATTTAACATTCAGTTGTCAGTACATTTGAATTACGAAATGTAACCAACAGAAATTTGTTACAGATAGAAAATAAGCACAATAAATGTGAATTTCCCTTGCATTATTATTGAAATTTTGTTGAGAAAAAAATCCCGCCACCAAGCTGTTTTCATGTCATGCATACTGCCCGCCAGCTGCTTTCAGGTCATGCATGCGGTCGGCATGCAGTTTGAGTTTGAGACCACTGTCTTAGGATACATTGAATTATGATAATTTGAAAACAAAAATTTGCATGATTTTAGTTATATAATTTTAAATTACTTAAAATTAGTTTTGCATTAAATTAGTTAAAATTACCTTTTTGTCCAATAATTTTTTTTTTTTTTTTGACAAAGCAAAACTTTATGAAGAAAGGGGAATTTTCATAAAAGAATATGTTTATTTATTTCATGTTATAAAGAATTCAGTTTTTAATATTTGAATTCACAACTTTTATCAAATTCTGTAATTAAACATGCAAAATTCTGAAAGTAAAAAACAAATAATTTTTTTGTTTGTTTTTACTTTCAGAATTTAATGTATCTTATCTATATATTTTCTTGTTGACCTTGAAAGTTAGCAGAGGTCTCGCCAAATATGCTTGAATCATTCTGGCAGAAGTTTGAAGAAATAGATTGATCTTTATTTAGTTAGATCATTATGGGTCACACTTTATTTAATTAAGTAATGAATAGATACAAGTTACAGAAATAGCAAATAAAGCATTTAAATAAATATGAGCTTAATATAAGATTATCTGACAAATTCATTAAAACTAGCATTTGTTATCTTGGCAGCAAAAATTCTTTAACGCCATTTAAAATAGCAACAAAGCTGTCACTATAGCAAAAAATCACTTTTTTGTGACTTGGCAAATACATGAATTTGTTTCAATACAAATCTAAGTGGTGTTGTGCAGTTCTATGGTGCCTTTTGCTTTTGGGAGCCCCACAATCTTTGAATGTTTTCTATAAATGCACAAGTATAGCCAGTCCCGAAACATTGAGAATGGACCACTGCTTGCTGTTTTATAGAAGCCAGGTCCTAGATTTTAATCTTTCCTTTGCCTAAAATAATGTAAGAAAAAACAAAGATATAAGAAATAACAATTCATTGAATTCTTCTTTCAAAAACTAAACTGGCTTATTAAGTTACATAATACCAAAGCAAATATCTTATTAATGTGTTGTGACATCATGCTTATTCATTACTGTAGCTAAATTGCACTGTTTGGCAAGTTTTTATTTGGTGAAAATAGTTGTCGGGAAAATACATAAGTATGATACTTTGCACCAAATCAAAAAACACCAAAGACTGTAAATGAAGCTTTGCATCATGTTACCAAATGCTATTATTTAAGTATGTACATAGCATGCATCTGTATGTAATTTAGGGTACAGGTAGATTTGTACTTTTCAAATTCAGTGTTTCCCCTCCGAGTTATACACTCTTTTGCAAATAAATCGAAGCACAATGAAGGAAGTGGTTGTTTTTATGAAATTGAATATGTGTACACATACATAGATAATAAAATGATTATAAAATCAAGGTCATATGTTCATGGCTCAAAATCACCCGTTGATTGTTCAAATTAGTAGTTGGTCGAACCGTCCCTGTCGGCAATGCATGCTTGAATTCGTCGAGGCATGGAGTGGTAGAAGTTCCTAATGTCATCCTGCGACACATTCTGCCAGGCATTCATCAATTGTCGCTCCAGACCTGTGATATTTTGTGGTGCCCAAATCTGGCGGTCTACTATGTCCCAGACATGCTCGATTGATGAAAGGTTTGGTGACCTTGCTGGGCAAGGAAGAGTATCAACTGCACAGAGACAGTCCAGAGATATGCAAGCGGTATGTGGCCTGGCATTATCTTGTTGGAAAATAGCCCCAGGATGACATGCCATGAAGGGTAATGCAACAGTCCACAGCATGGTATCAACATATCATTGAGCTGTTAAAGATGTACAGAGGATGACTAAAGATGACCTGCTGTCATAAGAAATAACACTCCACGCCATTACACCAGGGGGTTGTGGCTGTATGCCTTTGTAAAGCAAAAGCTGATTGGGACCTCTGGCCCCGTCCTCTCCAGACACGAACACGGTGGTCATCTGCTTCAAAAGTGAAGCAGGATTCATCACTGAACACTATACAATGCCAGTCTGATGGCAGCTATGATGATCGACTGCAACACCACTCCAGACGACTCCGCCGATGCTGTGGGGTCAAAGATAAATGTCTTAAAGGCCTCTGTGAGCGTAACCCTGCCTCAGACGAGCACCGTGAGATGGTGGCTGGTACCACGGGAGGTATACACATGGCTGTAGTGCGTTGAATAGTCGGCAATGATACTGTTTAGGTGGTTCGGGCCTGGCAGACGATCATCCTATCTTGCCTCGCATTTGTGTTCCTTGGCAGGTGCATTGCAGGTGGTGGCCTTTTGCTCAGTATGACCGCCCGGCTTCACACAATCCTACAGTGCGACACCATGTTCAAAGTCGTTTAGTTGTCTTTAAGGCCTTTGATATCACTGTAATGGCATTTTTAGTTGCTTCTTTATGGAATTACAATCACAGCAACAAAAAAAAAAAAGATAAATTTTCCACCTCTGTAACTGGTTTTATACTTTGCGAATTGCGCACTAGAAATGTGCACTATGATCCCAATTCCAGTTAGGTTGCTTTGAAACTTTGATCATTTGCATGTTCGATGAAGGTGTTTTTGCATACCAAATTTCATCACGATCAAAAAATTCTTTCTTGGTGCTTCGATTTTTTTTGCAAGAGTGTATTCTTGCAATGACTATATATTTGTTTTTGTTGTAATGAATCATAATGGAACTGTGGAGTTTGCTGTCTTTTATTTTCATGATGTTGGAGTGTTGGTTGAAGTTTCAATTGTTCTTGAGTGATCATAATTGTGGCCAGTGCAATGTTAAAAAAAAAAAAAAAAAAAAAATTATTATTTTTTTTTTAACGATTTCAAATAAATAATATGTGGCATTTGTGTGAATCATTGAATAGACTTTTGGGTGGGGTGGGGGTGAGGATAATTAAAAACTTTCTGTTTGAGTAGTGAAATGAAAACCTTATATATTCAAAAAAAAATTTTAAAGGAAGTATTCATACTAATTTAATTATTCCTTCATGGAATAAAAATAAATTGCAAAAACGTTTAAAATTGCTAAAAGGTATCGAAAAATTTCTTTAAGATACAGTTGTGCTACATTAATGGGCAAAAATTAGGAACTGTAATAACATATATATAATCAAAAGTTGCTTTTAATAATAATTTTAATGTCAATTTTAGTGTTATACTTAGGTAATTTTGCTCTTCAACTTATGACTTAAATAAGTTTACTGAAAGTAATGAAAAAATATGAATTTAAATGAAAACATTTATCTGTTTAGAACCTACACTGGAGGCACCTCCTGATGTTAGAGATCCATTGACTGAAATGATGGCAGAACATGGCATGGTTCGTCAAATGGTAGATAATACCCAAGTTATTACTTCTGGCCAGCTATCTGATGGATTAAGAGCCCGTGCTTTATATGATTATCAAGCAGGTAAGTTATAACTGTGTATCAAATGTTATAATTATTTTATAATAGTTTATTAACTTATGTCAAGGGAAGTAGTGCTTACTTTTTTTTTAATGTGAAGTCTTTTAAAATGTGTAAAAATTAATTTCAAATTTTTATTTCTGAAGTTAGTTTTTATAAGCAAAAAAAAAAAAAAAAAATTCATTTATTTATATCTCTGGTCTCTGAATCAAGAGAAGCAACTATCATAATTATCAGATATTTGTGAGTC